GAAGTTGCACCATTTTTACACACCAATTCTGATTCATCTGTTTCACTCAACAATCGGCCATGCGCGTTTTACTCCCATTCTATCGCGATATTTCATTTTCCTATCGTTGCCTAACATTATACCGGTATTACCGTGAACGGTATAATATGGCCCAGCCCTAATTGTCATTGTACATGTAGAATGCCCACACATGCAGATAAATAATATTTGTACAGAGCTAACACTGTGAGAGAAGAGAGAGAAACTTCTGAGGTCAGCCTGATTACTTTTATTAAGACTTATAACTATATTCCTGGCCACAAACGGTTAACTCTTACTGTTATTGCTTCAGGGTGTTACACTACTGCATCTCATCCTGTCAGGAGAAGCAGTTAAACCACCTGAGAACCACCAGTGCAGTGGTAGAGGTCTATGTCAGTCTGTAGGGGGGAAAAAAACACTGTGGGCAAAACAATCTTTTAGAGTCAGGAGCATTGTTATATTATTTGTTAAGTATTATGTTTTTGAGATCTACTTTTCAGTGTAAGATTTACAAGTTGGATAAGAAAGCTGGCAGTGTGGTACAGTGAATGAGTACCACACTGTGAATGAGTAGAAATAAAAAGATTAAATATTTAGCTTGATAAGATGTTAAAAGATTAGTATATTGTAAATATATGAAATGTAGTCGTAACTAAATTCAGATATCATGGCTTCAAAACAACCCCTTTCATTCATTGCTACAAGGATGTGTTTTTCATTAATTGCTAATATATGTGGCAATAAATTATTGCAAAGCAAAAACAGAGTCTCAAACAGGGTACTAAATATATTTTTTAAAACAAACAAAAAAAAAAACAACATGGCAAATATCAGGTGACATTAAGTGACTCGTTATAATGATGTCAATTATAATTTGGGCTCAAATCGGCCATTAACTCATTATGTACACAAAAGTGTATAAACATGTTTACACATGCAATACGTCGAGCTAATGCACTACTCTGCACACACCCCAACATTATGCAATTGCACTTCACAGTCACATGTTTAAATGTTACAAATCTTTGAACAAACTAAGTGGGCGATACTGCTGTTTGTTTCGTTTTTTGTTTTTTTTTGTTGATACTCACCAGATATACACATCCTTCAGAGCGTGTACACAGGTTGGATGCAGCTTTGCACTTCGTCACACCTACACACCTCCTTTGAAACAGGAGACCTCTGCATCTGGTGTATTAATGCTAGGAATCCATGCATGCACTCACACACTTACGGGAAGCTTTTTAGAAAGCTAGGTGGTCATATTTCTGTAATAATTTGCACAAAAATGATAATCTAATACAGTTTTGTGCTGAGCGGGGCTATTTACTCTCTTTTTTTCAGGACATCTGCACATTGCAATATGTATATCTAGTTTCTTTTTTAGGTTTTAGAACGACTTGTGATGTATGGTTTTGGTTTATGTGGTTTTTTTCCATTCTACATGCATCTCTTGTCAGAGCTTCCGGCGTGTTCTCGCTCACCACAGGGAAAAAAAATGCAGACATGCAAGTTTTTCATCTTAACAGAGTGAGTGAGGCGGCAGTCATATAAGAGACACTCTCACTCCTGAGTAGGAGTCTACGCTCACTATACATGTATAGACATGCATTATGTTAAAGCCTCAAAGGTACAATATGGAACTTTTCCTTTGAAACAGGAAGCGTATTACTAGTCCTCCCACTCAGTTGGTCAAGTTTTTGGGGGTTTTTTTTCTTCTTCTTTTTTTTTCTTTCCTTGACTTGTTCTGCCTTACAACATTCACCCAAAGACTGCTTTTACCGTCTCTATACTAATTGGAGAAAATGATGGTAAACAAAGCCTGACGAATGTTTCAAACCCCCCAAAACTCAAAAATATTAATATGCATTGTGTTCTTGAAAAGGTCTCAACATCCTCAACTTTGTATTTATTGTGTGATGTCCACACAATTAATTTCAGATATTCACTGAAAATATCCAAAATGGGCAGAATTTAGGCGCAGTAGTTAAAAAATAAAGATAAATTAATAATAGTAATAGCAAAAGGAGACTAATTAGTTTTGTTTGAATTAAATGAAAACATGTGAATGGTAGTTATAAATGCAGTAATAATGGTCTAGTACCATGAAAACCTGGCAGTCAAACACATGGTCAGGATTTCTGGTTCTCGGGGTGTTCTAGGGTTTACTTTTGAGAAAGCCTCATATTTCACATAACGCCATCTTTTAAGTTTTCAGTCTGCCACTGATTATTGTTTCCAGACTCATCAAGTTCTCCCACTCTTCTCCAGGTGGTACCACGGGCACCTCTCAGGTCGAGACGCAGAAAAACTGCTCACGGAAAAAGGCAAAGCCGGCAGCTTTCTGGTACGGGAGAGCCAGAGTAAACCGGGAGACTTTGTCCTCTCTGTTCTCACTAATGAGGAGAAACATGACAATGTGGATCGCAAGACCAAGGTCACCCATGTGATGATACACTACCAGGTCAGATATTTAATTCCAGGCCCGCTAAGATGTACTGAATCTTGTAAGGAGGATGTTGGGTAATGTTTGTGGCTTCAGATTGGTGGCTTACAATGCTTACTCATCCTAGTTTAACCTGGGCAGTTTGTATTTTTAAGTAGGTCATGATTTATTTATTTATTTTTTCAAAGAACTCCTCGGGCCAGCTGTGAAGTTGTTGAATTATCGACTTTTGTTTTCAGCAGGACGGCAAGTACGACGTGGGTGGTGGTGAGAGGTTTGACACCCTGGCTGACCTGGTGGAGCACTATAAAAAGAACCCCATGGTGGAAAAAAGTGGCATTGTAGTACACCTCAAACAGGTATGGGAGCATTTGAACAAATTAAAGCATCCAGGCTTTAAAGGCATTAGTTGGGTTCAAATTTTAAGGTTGATGTGAAAAGGTTTCTTGTGTCAAAATAGCTTTCTTTTTTTTTTCTGGTCTGTTAACTGATCAAATCTTTAATCATCTTGTCCCAACCCGGCAATGACAGCCTTTTAATGCCACAAGGATAAATGCTGCCAACATTGAAAACCGGGTACGAGAGCTCAACAAAGTAGCAGACAATTCTGAGAAACCCAAACAAGGATTCTGGGAAGAATTCGAGGTCTGTACCATTTAAACTTTCACTACCAGAGTCACTCATTCAATTTATATCCTCTATCCTATTAAAATCAATTTAATAACCTGATGAGCTGAGTCATATAGGCTTGACATAACTGGGGGAACTGATTCATGTTATCGTATTGAGTGTCATCTGTAGCCTGTGAGTCCAGCTTTTAACCACTGCAGTATGTTTTAAGAAAGAAGCCTCCTTTTTTTTATTCATATTTCATATATGTGACATGTTACTCATACTATATAAAATACATAAAAAAATGGTACCCATTTGGCTGCTTGTTGTTGATTTTCATCTGTCATTTATTTGTGCAGACTTACAGCTGTGGGTCTTATTTTTCCTTAGTTATTCATTTCTTTGTCTGTCATGGGAAGTCTAAATGAATTTCAGCTGTCTTAAACTTTGAGTAATGAAACTGGCTGAAGCTTAGCTTATCTTGTGGCATGCATTCATCTTCTTGTTATGTCGTTTTCATGCAACTGACAATTCAATAATGTGAACCATTTCTATTACGTCGGGGTGCAGTAGCTAGTTATCTCATATTTATAAGCCCAGTGCTCGTGCAGGTTT